AGAGAGAGAGAGAGAGAGAGAGAGAGAGAGAGAGAGAGAGAGAGAGAGAGAGAGAGAGAGAGAGAGAGAGAGAGATCAGGGCGGTGGGGAAAGGAAAGGGGAAAAAAAAAGAACAAAAGAAAAAAAAGCTCGGACTCTCTAGATGATTCAAACTACAGTAAGTGATTCTGAATGCTATGGCATTGCGATTTCGCCGATTTGCTAGAAAAGACGCTGATTTGTTAGCAAAGACGCCAATTTACTAGAAAAGACGCCGATTGGTTCGAAAAGACGAAACTAACGCTATGTTGCGATTATGATGGTCATAACGAAATTCAATAACAATGTCTCAGAAGCCTAAGTTAGTATAGGAGTCTGCTGAATGACCCCTGCGACGCTATCGGATGCAATGAGGAGGGAAACAACAAGAAGATTGACGACAATTTCACGTTAAAACTTATAACAACCAAGCCTACGGCAATCTACGGTCATAAGCTAGCATATATCGTCAAATCACATTTTAAGTTATCATCTAGTCTCTGCCGACCTACGGTCATATTAATGAATTTTAATCTTATTCAACATTTAACATCTCTTGAAGCCAAGTCTTCTGGTGTTACAGTTTCTCCCAGGTGAGTGCTGAGTCGGATGACGACAACAGTTTCAGTCTTTCCTCTTTCCCTTTTTGTTTCTTTTTTCTTTTTTTCAGTTTTTCGGACTCTAGGATGATCGAACTCGTGCCCACAGAATTGCCCGGGTCACTGTCATAAGGACTGATTCACCCCCCTCCCCCCACCCCCACCCCCACCCCCTCCCTCCCCTCCCCCAAAACAAAAACAAAAATCAAAACAAAACAAAAACAAAACAGGACAGATTCACCACTAAAGTGCAGGCGAATAAAAAATAAAAAATAATAAAAAATTAAAGACCGTGTGACAGTGTGTGGCGTGTGTCACCTGTTGTTGCAATTACATTGTGTGACAGTCGCATCAGCTCTCACTTCAACGCTTGAACAGATGGCGTCTGCGGAACGGAGAGTTGCCTCCAACCTCGCTGAGACTGCGGCTAAGTAACATCACATTCTTTCTTCCACTTATCATCAGCGTATACTGCGTATAGTATTCCGCGGCTCGGAGCTGCATTCCAATTTCCAATTTCCAATGACTCCAAGATCGTTGCTTTTGAAGAATTCGGTCATTCAATTAGGTAAATTGCAAATTGCAAATGGCAAAATGTAATGCATGTGCACGACGAGTATCACTGCCGCGCTGAGTCCGAGATGGCATGGCGTCTCCCTGATGTCCATCCCTGCTGAATAGCAATCAGGGAAACAGAAGTGAACGCATCCAGTAGTATAGCTTCAGTGGTGTATAGCTGTATCGAAGAGGTTGAAGAACACATTGAGACATTCTCAAGATGTAAGGAAAATGACAAAAAAAAAAAAAATTAGGCGAATGGGACAGAGGGAGGGGAGGAAACACGATCATGTCCAAATTCCCAGAGAAACTCTTTTCTGAGACAATTATAAATAATTCATTAATATGTCATTAGAAGGCGTGTGTGTGACTCTCACACTCTGTGACGGCCTACTCACACTAGCACACAAAATCGCTAGATTTGGGTTGGCAGTTTCGCCCACTTATTCGTGGGGGGCAGCACGTGCTGGGAACCGCGCCCAGCGTCCTCCCCACGAGTATATTGGAGCAATTGTTGAAACACACAAAAAAAAAAAAAAAAAAAAAAAAAAAGTTTCGCCCACTCATGAGGATGGTCTTATCACCTTGTTATAGTGGGAACCTGCAACGAAATTTGCTTGGGAGAGGGGTTGGGGTGGGGGGGGGGGGAAGTGTAGAAAACGTTTTGCCATTATACTACCAGTAGGGCACACTGCCTGGCGACACAGCTCTCCCGCATGGAGCACAAAACAGAAAACACACGACCGCGCGCGCGCGCGAGAGAGAGAGAGAGAGAGAGAGAGAGAGAGAGAGA